CAAAATGCAAGGGAGATAGGGAAAGTTACAGAAAATTGAATGCAGACTTCCAAAGAATAGCAAGGAGAGACAAGAGGGTCTTCTTAAATGAACAATGCAAAGAAATAGAGGAAAATAATAGAAAAGGAAAAACCAGAGATTTGTTCAGGAAAATTGGAGATATTAGAGGAACATTTTGTGCAAAGATGGAGATGATAAAGGACAAAAATGATAGGGACCTAACAGAAACAGAAGACATCAAGAAGAGGTGGCAAGAATACACAGAGGAATTATATCAGAAAGATTTGGATTGTGGTGCTGGAGGAGGCTCTTGAGAGTCCCCTGGACTGCAAGGAAAACAAACCTATGCATTCTAAAGGAAATCAAACCTGAGTGCTCACGGGAAGGACAGATCCTGAAGGACAATTCCTCATGAGAAGAGAACACTCCCTGGAAAAGACCCTGATATCGGGAAAGTGTGAAGGCAAGAGTAGCAGGGGACAACAGAGGACAAGATGGTTGGACGGTGTCATCAAAATGACCAGCATGAATTTGACACAACTCCGGGAAGCAGTGGAAGACAGGAGGGCCAAGCAGTGTTTTGTAAGATTTAGTGCAGAAAGACTACGTTTATAGACTAATACACGTATTTTAAATTTAAAACTCCTTTCTTCTGTAGTCACCGTGACAGCATAATTAATAAACGGAAAACCAATCTGTAAGTGGAATAAATGTCCTTTAATAGTAAAAAAAAAAAATCACTATTGGATTACCACTGGTGGTTACAATACTAGTGGTGATAATCTGATGCAATTTTTGACTATGAAAGGCCTCTTCTGCCCCTGCTTCATCTTGAGACACACACCCCAAAGGCTTCCCCAGGGCAAAAGGGTTCCACTAGGGAGCTCTAGACCCTAAGGCAAGAGGACAATAAGCTTTTAACCAATGGTACATTAAATGTTTCCGGTTCCCCCATTGGGGTTACACTGGCATGAAGCTCTACAACAGGATTATGCCCACTGCAGCCTTTCCTGACAGGAGAGTTACTCCAGTCCCTTGATCGTTTTGGTCATCCATCTGTTATTTATTTATTTTATTTATTGATTTATTTGATTTGTATCCCACCCATCTGGTCTAAGACAGGACGGTGCTGATAGTTTTGTTCCTGATTCCTTCTATAATTATTCTGCAATATTTGCTTTGAGCAATTACTACTTTTTGGTTTTTCTTTTTTATGTAATAGTCTGTATAACTGTGACACCTGTTTAACTATATTGAAGAGATCATGACAGGATTATTTATTTATTTATTTATTTAATACCCCGCCTATATGGTCGTTTCAAACACTTTAGGCGGCCTATTTATGTAGTCCATTATATAAGCAGATATGAAAACACACCTGGTAGTTACCTGCCTGCCAGCCTTGAGGTCCCCCAACTCAAAGGTAGCTCGGGGAACCTTTTGTGCACACACCCCTGTGCACTATTTAGTTGTTTAAAAATATATTAAAGTACCCTTCACATGTGTTTATTATAGTACATGCAAACGTCATCTGATACTAAGGCAGTTTGAGTCCGTGCATGACTTGAAGCACAGAACCATTCTTTTTCAATACAGAGTTGCCAGTTCTTTAATTGAATGACTTGAGACACAACAGAGAAATTGTCTCTGTGTCTAAGCTGTATAGTTCCTGTATCTGGTTCTGCCATCCATGGGAACACAGATCACACAATGTCTGAATGATCGCATAATCTAGTTTACAACTGTGACAGAATCAGGAAGCCTGAAATAGTCTATGCGCTCCTCTGCATAGTGTCCATTCTTTGCAATGGATTCATTTACAGTACTGGAACAATAATTCATTTCTGGGCCACATTGTATATTGCAGCTGCAGTCACTCTGGAATTCATAAAATGTAACTGGGGCAATAGTCTGTCTTGGAGATAGGAAATTGGACTTACAAGAAAAGAGCTGCCTATGTCCCAAAGACAAAACCCCAAAACAAAGCAAGCTATTTTGCATTTTGCAGGAGATGAGATAAACTGCTACAGTAATAATCTCACACTATCAGTACTTGATGACTTCCTTCTTCTGGTAATGGGTTATCTTCTACAGTTCAACCCTCTGCTAACCTGAGTTTGCCCTTACCTGCCCACCAGGTGACTCAGAAGACAGGTGCTACTAAGGTGGAGAAAAGTTGTACTCACTGAGGCACCACCACTGTGATCTGGCTGTACTCCATCAGGCATGTATAAATGAAAATTACTACAGCAAATGTGCGTATTTCAATATTCAGCACATTTGTAACATTGTTGCAGTTTATACCTCTTTACATGATCTCCTGTATCAGATCCTCTGTAAGAATATACAGCAAATGTGCGTATTTCAATATTCAGGACATTTGTAACATTGTTGTGGTTGTTTATACCTCTTTACATGGTCTCCTGTATCAGATCCTCTGTATGAATATACTGTAAAGGAATGCTTATTCATTATCTGCCACATTTTGTCCATGTTCCAGGATGATAATGGAACAAGCAACAACTGGCACTAAGGTTGCAGCCTGTATGATGTGAGCACAGAGTATTTTATCATTCCCTGCCCGCTCTGTTGTGATATCCCACCAATGCTCTCAGTTTCTCCCATGTTACTTTTAGAAAGCACTTTAGCATTTGCCAACTACTCTGGGTTAATGGTTGAGTATTTCTTCATTCATCCATTCCAGGTACAACTAGTATCTAAACCTCTTCCTCCTCTGGAGAATAAGTCCTGCAACATTTTAATATATTAAATGGGCAAGGTTGAGTTTGTGAGAGTTGAATGTGGATAAACCCCCATTATTCATCAGGGAAAGGGGCTGCATGGTGATCCCAATTTTACTTCCAGCTGCTGGCAAGGAAAACCAATGACCTCTCTTTTATCTGATTTTTCTCTCATTTCTGGTAGCAGACATGTAGGATGAAAACAGATTTTCATATTGCAACTTCCTACCCTGCAAGAAAACACCTATCACTCCACTGAAAGTATCTATAGATATGATGGTACAGTTCTCCCTCAGGTCTGCTTTGTTCTGGCAAATCCAAAGGAGATTTGTATGAGACTTTTGCTTTATACTGACAGTTAACCCGACAGTTAACCTCTCTTGCCCATTGTTTGGCTACCTAGACTCCTAGCAGCTCATATCTGGGTTCTGCAACCTATAATTTAAAAAAGGGAACTTTTCCAAGTTCTTCCCTCAGATCTCAGATTGATATAACTCTTTCCTCATTCTTCTGGGGAGCTGTTTAACTGAAGATTGAACTGGAGACCTTTTGCAGGGAGAGTATGTAACCCATGTGCTCAATCCTGACGCTAGCCTCTGCGTGGGTACCCACCTGGCCGTTTGCCTCCATTCCAGTCCTTCAGGGGCACTGAAGAGTTCTGAGAGCTGTATAAATAGCACTGGGCGACTTGCTTCTTCGTTCTCCTCCTCCTGTTTCAGCATGAGGCAGACCCTCTCTGCCGCGGAAGAGATGGTGGATGTGAAGATACTCCTGCCCACTGCCTGGCAGATGACCACCGAATTTCTGCTGGAGGGCTCCCGATCTGTTCCATGGTTGTTGTTCATCATCTCAGCATGAGAGATGAGGTCTTCTGTTCTTCCAGGGAGAACATCCTGGTCTCCATCCCTTTCCTTTGCACTTGACATGCTGAGCTAGGCAAGCACTCAGCCCATCAGCACCCCCTCTGGCCGCTGTCGTCGTCAGCAGGGCCCTCTTCCCTCTGTGGCAAAGCCTGAACAGCCACTGAGCAGATCCATGTCATTCCACTTTTATAAGGGGCCAGAGCCTGTTCAAGCCAGACACAGACAAATGGGCAGGAACACACTACCCCAAACAAATATAACCAGGGAGAGGAGCTCTTTTGGTCTGCAAAAACCAGCCAGAACTCACTGGGGCTGCTCCTTTCTACCCACCTAATCACAGAGGGACTGCTCAGCCCTTATCATGGGTGCTGGGGCTTGTTTACAACGGTGTGTACTATTTGAAGCACTGGCCAGGCCCAGGGCAGGCCAGGCCATCCTGGGAAGTGGAGAAACCTGAGACAAGGAAAGTGATGAGGTTGTGGGGGAAGGAGGGGGAAACTTGACACGGTTGAACCTTTGAGGTAGTGAAAGCTGGAAGGATTTGTAGGAGCAGGAGAGTTTTGGGGAGGGGGAGGCAGTGGTGGGGAACACAACAGCAATATGAATCTCCCCCCCACACACACATACACCTCCACTTCAGCATTCCCACCATGGAAGAGATGTAAGCAGCTATGTGGGAACGCAGCCCACTTTCAAACTGTTCTTCAGTTTGGGTCCTTACTGTTTGCTCTCTTTAGAAAATAACGCTTGCCACAGCAGGTAAGGGAAACACAAACCCTTTCCCCCAAAAGCCGAGCTAAGAAAGATTTTTAAGAAAAATTTGCTTTGTGCTTTGGCACAGTGGGAGAATTAAAAACCACTGAAAGAGAACACTTAGATTTTTTTTGGGGGGGGGAAGCATACACAACCATTGATAGTAATCTCTTTCTCCCGTGAGACTTGAATTTTCATGAGTGAAGGGCAATTTATACCAAACCTCCAGGGGGAAAATACTAATGGAGCTTTCCACTATCTGATAGCTGGCAACATCTGACCATGAAGGTGAAAGCTGAACTAGACATGGCATTTGACGAGTCATTGCATTTAAAGTGTGTGTGTGTGTGTGTGTGTGTGTGTGTGTGTGTGTGTGTGTGTGTGTGTGTGTGTGTTTAAGAGACCAGCTACAGAGACAAGTGGCTGGTAAATGCAGCATGGGAGGGAAATATGGTTATGTATGTGGAGGGCATGTAAACCTACATATTGGTCACTTATTTATGGAGAAACTTTGTAACTAATTTGTAAATATTAGTCCCTAAGTTTCCATGGCTAAATTTGCAACAAGATCTATCATTCAAAAAGAAGATCAACATGTTAAGTTAAATAGTGGCAGCTTGACAAGAAACTGTTTAATACTTGAAGTCTCTGTTGGCTGCTGATGCGAATGCTTACACATCAAATCACATTTCTGTATATGGCTCATATGTAAGCAAAGCGAATAGGCAACCTCTGATCTGGCCATGGGCCACCTATGCATATAAGCTTTTTCGGGTGGGACTGCACTCTCATGTAGCCCCCTCATAACTTCTGGCCATGTTGCAGGTGGTTCTGGGAGTTACAGTCCAAAAAGTCATGTTTCTAACATGTATGTAAACAGTATCAATTTCACAGCACCTCTGCCAGCTTGTCTGCCACACTTGTTAGGAAGATAAGTGGAGACAAGTTCTCTTCAAGAGCCTGAAAACTGAATTCCTTCTCTCTCTTTTTGAATATTTTCGTATATATTAGAAATTGACAAATTCAGGGGCTAGGTAAAACTTGGAATGGAACAGAACAAAACAGAACAAGGCAGAATGAGAACTTCTTAATAAAAATGGATGTCGAAAATAATGGAATGCAATGGACAAATAAACAGTTTATAGTTTCATAACCTTTATTGGCATACAGTACAAGACAGTGTGATACGGTAAAATGTTAAAAAGCATATATACTATATATGCCAGAGGACAAATAAACAATGAACAATATTTTAGACCTCAGACCTTAAAAACAGAATGGAACACAGTGGCCCAGAAGAGCAGGATAATCAAACCAAATTCATGACACACACGGGACTAGATGAGACAGATGCAGCAAGCCACAAATCATCCTCAGGAAAAAAAAATGTTCTGTATAGAAAATTGATATTATATAACATTCCTGGAACGCTGACTTCTAAGTAGGGCAGCCCAATGAAACGCACCCATTGCATTCAACTAGAGAGGACCTGATGCAACCAGCCCCCCCCCCACACCCTGGAAACAATATTCCAGTACCTGTTCTGGTCAGAATATTTCTATTGCCCAAAACAGCCCAGAATGGTGATTTCAGTGGTTTAGGTATCTGGCTGCTGAGCTAGAGTTTGGGAGGTTAGGCGTTTGATTCCCCACTGTGCCAACCAGTCTGTGTGGTCTTGGGCAAGCTGCATGATCCCAGGGCATCCTTGGAAGAAGGGAATGGCAAAACATTTTGGAGTATTCTCTACCTGAAAAACCCTGAAAAGGGTAACCGTAAGTCGGAATTGATTTGATGGCACATCATGATGATGATGATGATTAGGGCTTCCTCTGCAGTCAAACAGATTTGTCTGGTGGGTGCTGGATGACATGGAAATACATTAGCAGCTAGTGAAGTTGTTGTAACCAAGGAGTTATATGGTCTCTCTTACTGAATCCAGTCGGCAGCATTTTGAGCTAGGTGACGTTTCCAATCCATCTGCAAAACTAGCCCCACATAGAATGTGCTACAGTAACTCAAACAGGGCATAACTAAGTCACTGTAGCCAAATCAGTCATTTCAAGGAATGGGCATAGCTGGAGCACCACGTTTAACTGTGCAACATTTCAAGGAATGGGCACAGCTGGAGCACCACATTTAACTGTGCAGAGGCAGTCCTGGCTGCTGCTGAATCTTGAGCGTCCAGGCTCCAGGATGGATCCAGGATTTGCCCCCCCCCCCAAGATGTGAACCTGAGCTTTCAGGAGGAATGTAAACCTGTCAAACTCTGTTCCCTGATCTGCCTTACAACTGACCAGGAAGGAGTATCTGTGTTGTAAGGACTAGATTTCAATTTGTTTGCCCTCATCCAATCCATTACAGACATCAGACACCAGTTTAGAGCCAATACAACTTTTTGCCCTCATCCAATCCATTACAGACATCACACACCAGTATAGCTTGCTTGGAATTAGATGAGGAGAGATAACACCGAATTCCAAACTCCAGACAAACTCTCCCATTGGTTTTGAGTATATGTTTCATAGCATGAGGGGACAAAGCAGCGCCCTGAGTGATGCTACAGGCCAAAGGCCAGGACATCAAACTGGAGTCCCCCAGCTGCACCTCCTGAGTTTGTTCTCTCCACTCTCAGCCCCTGGAAGGACTGGAGCCACTGCAAAGGAGTACCTCCAGGTCCCATTCCAGTGAGGCTGCCCAGAAGAATACCATGGTAGATAATATCAAAACTGCTGAGAAATCCAGGAGAGCCAACAGGGACATATTCCCTGTGTTGAGTTTCCAGTGTAGATTGTCCACCAGCCAAGTCTAAAAGCAGAGTGAAATAGATCCAGATAATCAGTTTCACCCAGCAACCCCTAGAGCTGAGAGGCCCCGTACAGTACTTTCAATATGAGGGGCTACCACCAAGGCTATCCAGGCTATCTGAGGTACAGTACAAAGAACTCCCAAATGCTTTACCAGCTGTTCTTTCTGATGGTGCTCTTGGGCCACACAGCTTGCTCAAGGTCACACAGGCTTGCTCTTCTTCCAGGAGGCACAGTGGGGAAGACAACTCCCAAATCTTAATGAACTATCCACCTGAACTTAGTGTCCATGCTATTTTTGGAATCTCTTTAATCTCTCTTTGGATTTTCAGCCTTCATTCATATATTTAAACTTTGTTATTATACAATTATTAGATACTGAGCTCAGTGGTTTAGGTATCCAGTTGTGGAGCCAGAAGTTGGGAATATAAATCTTCACTGTGTCTCTTTGACAAGGGCTGGACTTGATGATCTATAGGGTCCCTTCCAAATCTGCAGTTCTAAGATTATGATGAGGATAATTTGTACATGTTATTTGCATTCCTAAAAATATTATTATGCAATACCGGCTTGTTATCTATAATAGCTCACTTTGGTATTCGGCTAGCACTCTTTGTTGTTCACACACATACCATAGTAGTTACTTTATTGTTGGGGTAAACAAGAAGGCACACACTCCCAGACACACCTTGCTCAATCAACAATACAATGTTACAAAGCAGCTTAATCACTGTTTTCCTCTGGAGGTGACGTGGCTCATGTTGCTTCATGAATAGCATCCAAAGCTATTACACATTAAACAAAAAGTATTGCATCTCCTCGGTGCTTTTAGGCTAAGCTTTCTTAGGCAATCGCCCTGAACATGGAATCTTACCAGGCTCCAAATAGCATTCTCTTATGTTTTATGTGTGGCAAATTGAATAGGTAAGGTATGGACTGATAGGTTTCATTTAAGGGGCTAGACTTAAAGGTTCATGAAAAAGTGTCTTCCAATGAGAGGCTTAAACTGAAAAGCACATCTTCCTCCTAGACGAGACTGCATCTTGTTTTGGAAGGCTAAATCATTATCCTCTGAAGGGATTAAATAAGCAGTACTTGTCAATCCAAACAAGAGAAGCAAAAGCAAAGCAAAGTGTGCTGCATATACACCACCCCATAGCACTTAAAGCACTCTCTCTCAGTTTAATTATGCAGGCTATATACAAGTCCTCAATGTTTCTTCAGATGCTGCCTCTCCTGCTAGGTTTACAGAGTTTTTCGGTTACAGCCCTGGACTTCCCCAGGATGCCATGAGACATGGAGGGCTCCATTGCTATTTGACAGCAGTGCCATTCCGACACCAGCAGACATAACAAGTGGCCCTGGGTTAGCACTACAGTACTTGTTTTTACAAAGTAGCAGTGTGAGTGGGACACCTATGTGTGTGTGTACTTCAAATATGTATGTATGCCTAAAAACAAGAAGTGTTTTTACTATAAACAGTAGACAGAAAGAATGGGTTGGGTAAGAATGAATCAGATGAAAAGTCACCAGCTAGCACAACAAAAGAATCTGTGTCTCACAGCAGGAGAATAATAATGGGATGGACACAATATATTGATAAATGTGGACATAAGCACTGCCACCTGTGTTATGTCTAAACACCCGGGGAAAAAAACCCAAAATTAATGACCTACCAATAACAATTCTGTTTTTCCTTGCA